AAAGCCATTTGTACAACTGGTACATTTATCACAAAAGACTTGGAGAAAGAAAAAGAACAAAAACAAACAAACAAAAAAAAAAAAAAGAACGGCGTGCATAAATGTTAAACTCTGTTCAAAATGCCTCAAAAAAGTTAGCTTTCAAAGTACAACGTCATCAACAAAAAATCTCCCAAAATCTGGCATTTCCAATAATAAGGATTAACTAAGCAAAATGCCACGATCTGCAAAACAGCAACAATTGACCAAGACAAAAGAACTGACCTGGAAAAGTTTCTCCAACGCGCACGTCTTCAACTTCCATGTCGCCAATTTTTCCATTATTCGCTGCCCGTGTCAGTGCTTTTACATAACTGAGCTGAGTTCTTTAAGATTCTAGACTCATCCAGAACAACTTATTACCTAAAATTCAAGAAGGCATTGTACATTGGCCCCTTGCAACCTGAGCTGAATGCTCAGATGCAAAATAACTCAACTTCACTAAAAAAAATTAACTTTCTAAGTGTTACATTTGCGCGCACGAGTTTTTACTTAAACTTTTGTAACGGTACTAATTGAACTATAGTGATTCGATTGAAACCGATAGCGTACTGTTTATGTAACATCTAAAGTAAAAGTCAAAGGATGGAAAACAATAAACTGATGATGGCATGACTCATGCCGAAACAAGTCTTTAAAAAAATTCCTCGTGAATTTGAAATTTATTTTAATTGTAAAACAAAAGAAATTACAAGAAAAATCTGACTGACAAACTGTAGATTTTCTAAGGTTTGTTCTTTGTACATTGAGTTGCGACTCACATTATCGTGCAGCTTTGAGAAGGACGTTCTAAGTGATCTATAAATAATACTAGCATTACACTTTACCTAATTCTGAGTGAGTAGGTGCTCCTGTAGAAATCGGATAGGGCCTTGCAGCCGGTAACCGGTCAAGTCGCCCGAAAGTCATCTCGCCCGAAGTCATGTCGCCAGGAACCAGAGTCATGTTACCCGAAATTCATAGTCATGTCGCCCGAAATCTTAAGTCATGTCGCCCGAAATTTTTTCGAGTGTTTAATCTTAAAGAAAATTTACAATTGCAAGGAATAAACTCGTAAAATGTTGACTCGTAAAATGTTTTCGTCCGCTAACCTATGCAAATATTAAGTTAAACAAAGACTCAAATATCGCTTTTCATTTCAGCGTTAACAGTTGCTATGAACTAAACTGCTCATTCTCTAGAACAGATTGAAGAAAAGTAACAATCGCAAGGAATAAACTCGTAAAATGTTGACTTGTAAAATGTTTTCGTCCGCTAACCTATGCGAATATGAAGTAAAACAAGACTCAAATATCGCTGTTCATTTCAGCGGTGTTCGTTGCTATGAATTAAACTGCTCATTCTACGGTAGAGATTCTAGTAATTATAAGCGGAACACTTTTTTCCATTTGAATTTGTTTTCAAGGGGCGGGTGTCACTTGGACAACCCACACGTCCTGCATGTAATTTAGTTGCCAGCAATAAATATGTTTGTATTAATGCGTGTCTGAATTTACCGCAACGTCACAATCTTTCTTGGCAACCATGTGATGATTCTTGAGCACGTGCTGTATTCAAGATGGTAGCGTTTTCCAATGTTCCAATTGTGGTGATGTGAACCTTCGTTCGAAACAGAATGCTTCCACAGATAAAGCAACAACCGTTAGGACCATACTGTAACTGATATTATTATTTTTTATTTTTATTTTCGTGTTCTATTTTAGGATTACTATCTCCGTGATATCAAAAGAAAGCGAAAGGAACAACCTGAGTTTCACGAGTCAACATTTTACGAGTTCATTCCTTGAGATTTACTTAAGATGTTACTTTTCTTCAAGTTTAAACACTCGATAAAATTTCGGGCGATATGACTTAGGATTACGGGTGACACGACTATGAATTTCGGGCAAAACGACTCTGGTTTCGGGCGACATGACTTCGGGCGAGATGACTTTCGGGCAACTTGACCGTAAAACCTTGCATCCCTATGCATACGTACACCCTTACTAAATTATTTTCAATCATGATATGCAATGGGCTGTATTCCAAAATAATTCTTTCTTTCTTAAAATATTACAATACTAATCTCAAATTAATCATAATTATTTTTACCAAAGCACTCACATTTTTTTCAATATTTTGAACAAGCGTTTTCGTCTCTGGATTTTCCAAGTCCTTGTATACTTGTTTGAACTCTCCCTTGAGTTTAAGTCCCACAACAAAGTTTTTCTGAAGTTCCTCTGTTAGGAGCAAGAGAAGTATGAACATTACAAAAAGCGAAACTACATGTACTCTAAAACCTACATTGCACAAAAAATAACACGTCAAAAATCGAACGAACACTTGCCTATCCACGTTACCGAAATACCGCCACTAAAGTAAATGCAAGAAGAAAGAAGACCAAATGTACACAATTTAAATGTATGTGTTTATGGCTAAATGTAGGTCTGTCCTTTGGAAGGTTAACGGCTGATTCATTAGAGACCGAAAGCAATTTTCAAAGTATGTGCTTGGCGAAATGTACGTCTTTCCTTTGGAGTGTTGAAGTTAAAGGCTAATTCATTAGGGATCAGCATCAAGTCTGAATGATCAGTCTATCTGTCTATGTGTATGTACCATATATATTATGTACCATATATATCCTGGGTATACACAAGTTTCTAAAACAATGATCTTCATGCGGGGTATCAATAAATAAATGTGCACAACAGCGTGTAAAACGAAGATTTCAGTGAAAGAAGAGTATATTTAAACTGTGCGAGCACTTAATCATTTTAAGTTTGGGAAGATGGCAAAATAAATCAAATGCAACGGGAGCGACTTTCTCTCTGCTACAAATTTAAAAGTTTTTCCAACCTGTTTCCTGACAGTTTTTTCCTGTTTTTCCCGGAAGACAGGCACAAAAGTATATGTCCCCAAACTTACGACACGATTTTCCAGCAGCACATGGTTTCTATTTCTACGTTCTAAATGTGTTTAAGCTTTTTGGAGACAGTAAAAATCTTAGAGTTTAGAGTTGTAATTTTATTTTTAAATTTTGACACAGTTTTGGAAGAACCTTTCTATTTCTCCGAAACGTCTATATAAAATATCTTAGGTTATTAGAGCTGTGATCACATCGAAAATATGTTGAACCCGGGGACCAGTACTTCCCATGCCTGGTTCGGGCCAATCAGGTTCCAGGTAATTTCATAGCAAACATGTATTTACTAGTAACCAAGCAATGTCAGCAAACAACTTCTTTACATTCTGTAATAGAGGCATCACCCACCTTCATATAAGATAAAGGTACTTTTGATATCTCCTCCATATTTGTTGCTGGCATCACACCTGTATTCTCCAGGTTCCTCGACTTGGATACCTTCAATAGTCCATTTTTTCTGGTTCCATGTTTCGCCTGATTTTACATGAGTCCATAGGACAGCAGGAGGTGGCGTACCAGACACATTACAATAAAGTACGATAGTTCCACCCTTAACGGCAGTGTGATTTCCCATGGCCACAATTGCGGCAGGAACTATAAGGCAAATTACAAAGATTCAAAATTAGTAGTCCTCTGGTTAAAAAAGGCAGTTTTAGCATAAAATCATATACCAGCCACAACCTGAATGTATTTGTAAAGAAATTATAGGACTGTTCCTCATAGCGTTTTTAGGCTGCAATCCTTAAACCCTCTATGAATGAGTTCCTACCTGTGCTTAGCCCCGCACAAGCTAGGGTTCACTTGCTGGATACGCTTTGGGTTTGCAATTGTACTCTGGGTAAGTGGTGACTTGACTGTTACCTACACAAACGTACCAACACACACATGTATCTGGTACATTAACCAGGCCCCGGTTTTCGAGGGTTGAATAATACTATCCACTGAATACTGAGTCTCTGTTCGGTGGATAGTGTAGTATGTTTTGCGATCACTTATCCGCTGAATAGCGATTTGTCCGTTGGATAACGTTATCCGACCTTTATACAACTCGGCCCAGAACACTACAAAAAGACATACATATATATATTTTAACAACAAAAGTTTTAATCTCCACGCGAGGAAGCTAAACGAGCCTCAAGGACTTGGTGCTTTTGTTACCTTAGGAACAGTTTTCAACTGAGTATCCGAAAACCAAAACAAAAGTAATCACAGCGACCAATAAGGTTAACATTATCATTAGACTATAAGAACACGAATTTCAAAAAAAGCAAACTTCTTGAGGCGCGGGAAAACGCAGAAGACCAAGTCGTGATTGTTTTAAGTTTTGCATCTGATTGGTTGAGAGGATGCTGCAAGTTTTCTGGACCAATCAGAGAGTTACGTAAAACCAAATCAACTAATCAACTCCGGATTGCTTTCGACACTCAACTGAAAATTTCCCTGTGTCAAAACTAACGTATCAGTCTGAACCAATACCTATTGTAAGTCAATGTTATGTTAAAGCTTGAGATCGAACAAGATCGTCCCACAATTTAGGGGCGGCGGCATGGAAAGATCGATCGCCGAGCGTGGTGAGTATTTTACCCCTGCAAGGAGCAAGGAGCAAGGACACAATCATAACAGCGATAAACTACAACACTTACAACGCACTGTCATGTTGACAAACTTAGTTACAGGGCTTCCAAACAATTCTCAGCAGTACATCTGTGCAGTCCTTCATCCTGACTACCGCGGATGGTCAAAGGGAAGTTCACTCGACTGATATCAGCAAATTTTGTCCAAGTCGTCGTTGGTGCTGGATTACCTTCCGCCAAACAAAACAAACTCACCTCGTCACCTTTATTCACGATCTGCTCACCAGAAATGTTTGTAATTCTTGCTGCATCTATGAAAGAAAAAAAAACATCAAAAAGTTATAAGATTGTAAGGGGGCTTTATTTCCAATACAAATTCCGATCAAATGTTCTCAGATGTTGGAGGCAAAGATGTTAAAGTATGCAATTAGGATCTCAAGTTCAAAGCAACGACAGTAAATGCAATAAACTATCCACAAACTTACAATGCACATCAATGGTTGCTGTCTTTGTTGCATTACCACATGCATTACTGGCTTCACATTTGTATTCACCATCTTGACCCCTGTTAATGTTTACAACATTCAGCATAAATCCACTATGACGCTGACCAGCAGGCTTCATCCAAAACACCATTGGCGGAGGCATTCCCGATACGTTACACATCAGAGTCCGATTGTCACCTTCAGTGACCGTCTTGAGATCTATTGCTCGTATGGATGAAGGCACTGTAAAAGTAAGTTACGTGAAATTAGCATTTGTCTGTCAACGAGCAGAGGAACCAATCATGTTAATAACTCTTACGTTTCCTTTCACTTATCCAAACAATTAAAAAAGCGCAAATAACAGGGTCTTGCCGGACCTGAGCTTAGCTGATATCATGGCGACTGTTGAAAAATTGACACTTAATCAAGGCTTACCATTCACAGTAATAGCTACATTCATACTAGATGCTGTTCCCAAAGTGTTGGTAGCCACACATTTGTAAACAAACACTCCTCCACTTTCCAATGGTTCGCTCCAAATCCCTGTGACGCTATTGGCCAAGGCAGTGTCATTCCTAAACAGCTTGTATGACGTCACTGCTGGCTTAGCATCAGCTGAGCAGTTGAAAGAAATAGTATTTCGCTGACATGCTTTGTCGTCGATCACAGCGGTTGTAAATTGCACATTCTCTGGTTCGTCTGCAAGAGTTACAAAATATCACAATCATTAATTTAAACGTCCAATGATCCCAAATCGATACATGTTGGTCTCCCAAAGCGCTATATATATATATATATCATTAACCTTTCTTTACATCTTTCTACACACATCCAGGACAAGTAATGGACAGGTGGGGTCATAAGAAAACCTCTAAGTGACTAATTTAGTTTCAAAACTTTAACACCCATAAGCATTCACCATTTATAAATTCAATCTAAAGGTAATTACTTACACTGCACATCAATGGTTGCCATCTCTGTTGCATTGCCACACTCATTACTGGCTTCACATTTGTATTTACCAGCTTCACTCCTGTTAATGTTCACAAACTTTAACACATTTCCAGCAACACTCTGACCATTGGGCTTAATCCAAGACACCTTTGGTTGAGGCATTCCAGATGCAGTGCATGTCAAAGTTAAATTTTCACCTTCGGTTACATTCTGATCTTGAATTGCTTGGATATTTGAAGGCACTGTGGACAAAGACAAAATTAAACATAAAAAGTCTGTTGCATTCATCACACTGTTCTCTTTTTCAAATCTTCTGAAGACCTCTTCGAACATATCTCTTGCCTTCATTCCTTGACTGTAAACTTTACTCGGGATTTTATTCATAACAATCTTAATCTCAGTAATATCGGGTTGAATATCTTCTTACGATTTCTCACTTCTGCTGCGTATGGCTCATGGAATAGAAGAAGGAGAACTTTCATTGACCTCCTTGGTACATTCACTGTTTCATTGAAGATTGCGTTAGACGCCTCATCTATAGAGATTACCTTAAGACGAATTACATGCTCGCACATAAATTTCTTTCCATTTTTGTAGTTAAACAAGGCTTCGTTAGCAAGTTCTTGACTGTGAATGACCTCATACCCAAGCTGGATATTTGTCAACTCATGGGCAAGATTTTTTGCGTCGGATCCCTTTACAACACTGTCGATAGGTGCAGGCCTGAGCTCGAAAAGAAGCTAATCAGAAAGAGCTCTCGGGAAGAAGACTCCATGAACCTTTAGAATCTTGTGATCCAATGGAATATTGTATTTTGTTCCTTAAACTTCCTTGAGCTTCTTCTCTTTATCAACACCTGAAGTATTCTTATCCCTAGGATTGCATATGATTTTTGGAAAGATTTTCAGATTGATTACCTTCTCTGAACATGCTTGCTTTCTCAGTCTAAGTCAAGAACAGGTTCTCATTTTGCTTGAAGAGATCATAGCCATCAGTGTCCTGCACAATTTCTCCTAGGTACATTGTTCACAAGATATTGTTTCATCACCACTCACATTAAGGTTGAAAATGAGTGCGAGAAATCCATCATCAAGCCTTCAAACTGGGACTCTAAGGACCTCACCCGGGCAAGCCTTGTTCAGGTTGAATTATGCGGTCAGCGTTGAGGGCATTTCACGTCTCTTTTTCAAAACTTGATTTGATTTTTTCACTAACTTCCATTTTAATAGATAATATTTAAAACGGCAGAATTTGGAGATACTGATCCTATGCTTGACAAATAAGGAAATGCAAATGATGGAGATGATGAAGATGATGGAAATACAACAGGACACTTTTAAAACCTTTAATCCTTATTACAATTCAATTCCCAGTCCCTCAGGTGATCAATATGAAATGACAACAGCGAATAGGGAGGGAGAGAAAACACCAGATATCACTTAGGTGTTTAAATCACTTCTCAAGCATGACGAAGCTTGAGAAACATTACATTTTCTGCAAAAACAATGAGGTAGTCAGGATGGCTCAGATCTTTGCTGAAATGCTCGAGGAGAACATCAAAAATATTCATAACGAATTCTATTTTGCCAAGAAGATGATCTTCACTCATGAGGACAGGCTTAATTTCAATGCAGAAGTGCGTCTGGATTTGCAAAGGTTTATTTGACAATGACAAAGTTAGAGACCACTGTAATTTTACAGGGAAGTATAGAGGAGCAACCCAATACATGTGCAACCTACAATTCAAGACGCCAAAGGCTACTCCTGTGATATTCCAAAATTTAGCAAACTATGATTCCCATCTATTCGTTATGAATCGCGGCAAAAGCGAATTTAATATTAAATGCATTCCCAATAATGAGGAAAAGTACATCTGCTTCAATAAAGATGTTGCAGTTGTGAATTTCGGAAAAAAAGAGGGAAAAGAAGTTAAAGACAAGAATGAACTACACTTTCTCGACATTGATAAATCAGTTTCAAACTTGAGTCTTGAGAAGCTGTAGGAAACTGAGAAGGTCTTCAAGGATAACACGGAGTTCATCTCAAGAAAGGGTGTGTACCCATATGATTACATGAGCAGCATTGAGAAGTTCAATGAAATAAGTTTACCTCTAAAGGAAAAATTCCTCTCTCAGCTAAACGATTGTGGAATTTTAGATGAAGATTATGAGCACGAGCATAAAGTATGGAAGGAGTTTGATATCACGACGAAGAGTGACTATCATGACTTGTACCTCAAAACTGATGTTCTCCTACTGGCAGATGTGTTCCAAGAGTTCAGAAGTGTTTGTCTTGAGAAATATAGCTTAGACCTTGCTTGGTATTACACATCACCTGGTTTATCATTTGATGCTCTATTGAAAGTGTCAGATAAAAAACTCGAGTTACAAACTGATATAGACATGCTATACTGATGTTAAGGAGGGTATTCGTGGAGGGATCTCAATTATCTCAAATCAATTTCAAGAGCAAATAATCCATAGTGTATGAAGCTTATGATCCAATTTAGCTAACAAATTACATCTTAATATGAATAATCTCTATGAGCAATGTGTCAGCCTCTTCCTATTGGAGGTTTTAAGTGAATGACTGACTTTGATAACTGGTAAGATATTCCTTGTATTCTTGAAGTTTATCGTGAATATCCGAGAGAGCTGTATGATCTTCACAACGATTATCCACTTGCCGCTTAGAGGTTGATGATAAACAGGGTAGAAAAACTTGATCCAAATCTGAATGATAAAGAGAGATACGTTGTTCATGTTAAAGCATTGACACCATGGATGACAAATTACATTGAGCTCAACACAAACTGTCGTTCGAAAGCTACGAGTGAATTCGAAAAAGATTTATTCAAGTTGATGAACAATTCTGTTTTCGGAAAAAATATGGAAAACATCAGGAATCGTTTGGATGTTAGATTAGTCAATAAAAGAAAGAAAGTTTTGAAACTTGCAGCAAAACCTAATTACAGGCATCCCACAATATTTGATGAATATATAACTGCAACTTGAGTTTGATAAGCCATTCTGTCGTGGAATGAGCATGCTCGATATCAGCGAGACTCTGATATATAACTTCCACCATAACTACATCACGTCTAAATATTAAGATTGTGCAGCTTCACATACATTGACAGTCTAATGTATGAGATTGGAACTAATGATTTCTACAAGGATATAAGTGAAGATGTTGAACACAAGTTTGGCACAAGCAATTTTTAACGAGATCGTCCGTCACAGGTCCCAATTGGGAAAATAGGAAAGTGGTTGGCATGGTGAAAGATGAGGCAGGTGGAAAGATCATTGAAGATTTCGTTGGTTTGAGAGCAAAACTCTGCAGCATGAAAATGCATGTGGCAAAAAAGGAAAAGAATTGCAAAGGGGTCAAGAATGTTGTAGTAACGAAGAAGATAACACATGAAGACTACGAGCAGTGCCTATTCAGCGGAATATTTAAATGAGGAAGGCGAATGTAATCAGATGACATAACCATGAAGTCTTCACTGAGACCATCAATAAGATAGCTCTGAGTGCTGAGAAGATGAAATAAGCTCTTTGGGTCATGGTTACTGTCAATGAAATCATTAAAAATATGAATCCTGATAATATACCATTCAATGCATTAATGATTGGGACAACAAATTTAGGAAATACGAGACATTTAGCCAGCGGAAAGTTCGATTACATCTTCTTCCTTTTCCCCCATTTATCCATAACATTACATATGATGGTTTTTCAGAAAGGGATAAACACTTGATGAGCTTAACTCCTCTCCAAGACCAGATCAATGTTCGGCTAAGGATAAGTAGTAATGCGTATGAGGTTGTGCTGCCTCAAGAGATATGAAGCAGAGGACGAATGAACTCGTGAATTTAGCACTCAGCGCAAGAGACAGAGGAATCAGCGTCTGGGTTCTCACACAGCAGAATGCAAGCGTTGCTAAAGCATTCAGAGAGCACAGTGCTTCATTTGCTCTCTTTACACCTCTTCATCCTTATTGCATTTATCTTAAACTTCCATGAAACTTTCTATTTCTCAAATAAAACAGAGATGACTGACAGTGAAAAAGACGCTGTTATTGATGTTCTGAACATTCTGGAGTTTGAACCTTCTAGTGATTCAGATCATCGAGAGCAACTCGCTGTTCTTGTTAGAAGTGGGAAAGTGAAGGAAATGATTGGGCAAGATCCCACCTGGGATCATGTCAAGAGACTCTCTGGAAAAGATGTTGAGAGATACTCTAAAAGATATGAGACCTCACTATCAGAAAAGATGTGTGATGCAATGGTTGATACATTTCTTCAGCATTCATGCAAATCATCGGCTCACTTCCTTCCAATTGATGAAGGAAAATCTACTATAAGAGGAAGGAGTTGACGGCTCTCGCTTATAAACCAAAAGTAAGCAAAGCGAAACGAACAAAGTATCGCAGCCTCAAGCGAAGCGAAATGAAACGTAGCGAAACGCACCAACATAACCACAGGTAAAATGCAGAGCTCGAGCAAGACTAGTGGATTGATTTTTTTTTGTTTGCCAAAAATAAAACTTCTGATGATAAGCTTGTTACAACATTGACTGATTCAGCGACTTTGACTGGATTCGCTTCCGGGGTCGGATGGATTGTAAAGAAATTCATCAAAGAACCAATGACTTCTCTTCCAAGTTCAAATCTCATGAACTACGTGAAGTTCACTGTGGTTATTGCTGCATCAATCGCAAAAAAAAGAAATCTTGAAAAACCTGGGCGTGAGTTCATGGGTGAAGTAACCAAAGAAATAGCAAAGCATGTTAGGATAAGAAGAGGGAATGTTAATATTCACGGAACTGTCGAGCGATTCAACCGAACTTTGGCTGAACGCCTCTTCACTTTCCAATAAAGTAAGGAGATAAACTTCAAGAGGAAAAGAAATCCACCGATTGGGCGAAGAGGCTTCTAAAAGGTTGGATTGGCTTTGAATCGTGAAGAGACAAGATTGACAGGAAAAAAGCCTGTTGGTGCAATCAAACACAAGTCAGTTGACGCGAAGAGTCCAACTTCTTATACGAGACCTGTCGGCTTGAAGGAGAAGAAACACGAGTTTGGCTGATATCATAACGACTGTTGAAAACTTGACACTTGATAAGGTGAATAACTTTGTACCCAGGCAACCGTACTCCTTGAAGAAGACTGGCAGTTGCATTTTGAAATGAAGACTGACAGTGTACATTCGAAATGTTGCAATTCGCGACAAAGTGAGTGTATCATGAGACAAACGGTTGTAATTTCTTATTTTTCACAACTAGAAAAGTAGTCCAGTGAGTATGAAAATGGTATGGAAATTATCTAAAAGTTCCAGAAGACACATGAAACATTTCTCACAGAACAGATTACTGCCATAAAATTCACAGCAGATATTTTTAAACCTAGAGTATTGACATACCTTAATACAAAGATCAAGGCTTACCATTCACAGTAACAGTAACATCCGTACTAGATGCTGTTCCTAAAGTGTTGTTAGCCACACATTTGTAGACAAACACTCCTCCACTTGTCAATGTTTCGCTCCACATCCCTGAAAGGCTGACGTCCATAGCAGTGTCATTCTTAAACAGCTGGTATGACGTCACTGCTGGCTTAGCATCAGCTGAGCAGTTAAAGGTAATAGTATTACCCTGACATGCTTTGTCGTCGATCACAGAAGTTGTAAATTGCACATTCTCTGGTTTGTCTACAAGAGTTACAAAAATATTACAATTATTAATTTAAACATCCAATAATCCCAACTTGATACATGTTGATCTCTCAAAACGCTGTAAGTACATCATTAACCTTTCTTTACATTTTTGTACGCACGTTAAAGACGAATAATGAACAAGTGGTTTCATAAGAAAACCTCCTAGTGACTAATTTAGTTTCAAACCTTGAATACCTAGAAGCATTCACCATTTATAAATTCAATCTATAGGTTATTACTTACACTGCACACCAATGGAAGCCGTTTTTGTTGCATTGCCACACTCATTACTAGCTTCACATTTGTATTCACCAACATGAGCCCTGTTAATGTGAGTAACCTCCAACATGTGTCCATTGTGACGCGGACCACCAGGCTTAATCCAAGATACAATTGGTGTAGGTATTCCAGACACATAACACATAAGATTCACATTGTCACCTTCAACAACTTTCATATCATCTATTGCTTGTATGGATGAAGGCACTAAAGTAAAAGATTACTCATTAGTATACAAAGAGTAAGAATAACATGCATTTGAGACTTATATAGGGCCTCAGCCTTGTACAATGTCCTCTTAAAGTTGCCGTGTTCAACCAAAGTTAAGCACAGCTGGGATGATAAAGACTCTACATATATTTAAAATATTACAAAAAATTTCACTGTCACTGTAGCATCGTGTACAAGTCTTACGAATTTCACGAATGAGTTTATGAATATGTACTTTCACCTACTTCATTAGCTACGATGTGCAGTTGTTAGTATGGATCAACAACACGAAAAGTTGAGAACAAGAGATACAGTGATATTATATGTATGTTCTTCGTGTGGGAAATACACCTGCTTAGTCACATGATCCAGAGAGAGAGGATGTACAGCTAATACGTAAACCGCTCTGCCTTTTCAATGTCATATACAGCCTCAGGGACTTTCTTGGTGAGTTTTCAATCATATACATGTATCTTAACTGTTGATAAGTATAAGCTGAAATGAATTGGCTTAAAAGAAGGTTTTAAGAGAGGATGTCAGCATCTATCGAACAAATTTGAAATATTGTGGCACGTCGCCCAAAATTCGTTTTCACTCTTACTTTCATATTTTTTAGCCCAATATGTCCTAATAATTGTGGCGTAGAAATGACTTTTTTCGTTCGACCGCTCAAATATGCAAATTTTTACCGTGAATATTACCCGAGTTTTGTGACCTCATGTAACGATTTCACTCGACCTACGGCATTTCTGTCAACATAACACTTTGTGTTATCATCTACACTTAGTCTCCTGTCATTATTGAGGACTTTAGAGTGACCACTCCAAGCCAAAAACTTAGGCTTTACATAAAATATTTCCCAAGAATCAGTATTCCCCTGCAGCCTGACTGTTTGGTCTAAGAGAGTTAAGAAAAAAACATCTGGCTTCAGTTGGGCTGCAGAAGCTGTCAGAAAGTCTAAAAGTTGGCCATTTACTCCTTGATTTTTAGTAGAGCCTGTGCCTTTTCAGAACTACTGACAAGGTAGATAGGATTTGCTATTTCCTTTGCCTTGACTGCCTGCCAATTAACCATAACAAGTACAGTCTGCCAACCAGCCATGATGACCACAGTCTGCCCTACTACGTTGCAGCACTAATAAAATTGTCCAGAATCACTAGTAGCCACTAAATCTATGGCATGAATATTTCTCAGGAAGAAATTACTAGTTTCTCTAAGCTGTAACTTCATCTTCTTTTATACCACCTTTATCATCATATATTACTGATATCCTTCTAATTCCAAGTTTATAAATTGCATATTTCATTAAATTGATGACAACAAAGAGAGACCAAGAAATTGAAGAACCCACACATAACGTTATATCAGAGAATTCACAACAGATAATTCTGCATTTGTTTCTTACCATTTACAGTAACTGTTACATTCATGCTGTACGCTGCTTTCACAGAGTTGTTTGCCATGCATTTGTAGTTAAACACTCCTGCAGTTGACATGTTGCTGCTCCACATTCCAAGACTTTTGCTGCCATTCCTCACAGGCACACCATTCTCTAACAACTGATATGTATCCACTGGGGGATTTCCATCTGCTGAACAGTCGAAGGTGACCACAGAACCCTGGCACACAGTTGATTTACTTACTGTGAACTTGAACGCTACTGGTTTATCTGTAAGATTAAAATCAGAAATGAATGCCACAGTTCACTGCATTGTAGGCGTCTCTCAGAATTCTCCAAAATTGTAGGGCAAAACGCTCTTGTATATAAACTGCAGACTTTTACAACGATTTCCAGCCCTACGGAAAGTGGTTACTTTACATTACTGTGTAAATTTACAATAACTTTTTACGTGGTTTATCTAAAGAAAAGAAAAATACCACACTCTAGATTACTAATCATAAATGAGATTTCTCAGGCTGTAAGAAGATAGCACATGCATATGCTCTAATTCAAATAATTCTAAGTCAGTCTTCTCCTCCGTTTCCTTGGCTCTCTAATTCGTATTTCTAGGATACTGCACAACCACAGAAAAGAACACAGCACACAGAAAGTGTCTTTAACTTACGGAATAAAAAAAAGCTGTCATAACAAAACATAACCAAATATCCAGTCACCTGGACTAAAAAAGCTTAGTCAATAATGCGTACGGGTTCCTGCGCAAATATACATTATTGAATGAACATTATTACACGCTCATAAACCACACACCACGTGTACTCGCAATAAGCATTGATCTAAACTGTGCGATTTGGTGCAGCTTCTATTAGGAAAATCATTCCTACATTCTATGATAAAAAAAGACAAAACAACTATTGGTACAATATGCAATTGTCTACTTACAATTAACATCTACTTTCACTGTGCGATTTGGTGCAGTTCCTATTCCATTATATGCTCTACATCGATACGTTCCACTGTTATCTCTGTTGTTTTCAAGGACAAACTGATTCCCAGTTCCCAGTTCACCACTGTCACTTCCATTAGCATATATTCTGGTCCAGTTGATATTTGGAGTTGGTTCACCAATTGCGATACACTCTAATGTAATACTGGGGTCAATACCCTCAACGACAACCACATCGCCACTACTGCCGTTGAATTCGGGTGGATCTGTTAAATTATTGAAAACAAACAAACAAATGTGCACCTTATCCGCGATACACTCTTAAATGACACTTATTTGGGTCACCTTCAACAACAACTACATCTCTAATGATTGAATTGAACTCTGGTGGATCTGCTCAAAAGAGAAAACAGGTGTAAATTATCCCATAGTCGATCTCGCAAAACTGAACCAGTCTGCCCCAAAACATGATACTAAAATCATAATTAAAAGCGTTACCATCCAGTCAAAAAGCTATGGTTGTGTATTCGTATGTCGTGTGGGGGCATCATCATGAAATATCTGAACAATTACCCGTTCAATTCCTTGATCTAAGCAATTGTCCTAATTGCAAATTATTCGAGTATGCGACAGGGATTTGTGCTGCGGTATGAGGTCAAAGTTGACTGCCAAAAGGACAGGACTCCTATGAAGGTAAAGTGAGCAGCATCCTTGCTTTCCTACATTCTCTTTTTTTAATCTGTTCTTCGAAATAACAAAAAAATAACAGCTTTATAAATGTACGGCTTCAAATCTAAACATAAAATAGGTCGTAAGGATTTGCGTAAAATGTTGGTGCAAAATCTACGGAAGAAACAAGATAGTTTGAATCTGTTCTTCGAGGCACAATTGAAATTACAGAAAAAGAAACAGCTTTATAAATGTAAGGCTTCAGACATAGACGTTTTTTTCAATCCAACACTGTTTTACTTTTGTGCATGGTTTTCCTGAGCAGCATGATGAGGGTATGAAGACAAAACTCAAAGCGTCTATTATATTGCACCCTCCAACGCGGAGAAGAAAAAAAGGGAAAATTTTCCGGAGCTCGGACAAATATCATATTACTCGCTAAAAATCCCCGCGTATTATACGTTAAACCACAAAACAAGGGATATTTATGATATCGAGCGGGTTACGCAAGTGGTTTAGATGTATCAATGCCTGTGGTCTAACTGGTTACGATTTAGGGCAAGGTGGGTATGGGACTGCCCCTCTTGGCCCTCCATGATATCCAGGAAGTCAGTTTGCATTCTTCTCAAATGTTAGGAATTTTTCCTTTACCAGGAGATCGCTGCGTGCAGGTTTTCATTACAAAGCAGTAGCAAGTCAAGTCCCAAGCCAACAGTTTAAAACCAGAGCGGGCAAAACAAAGAACAAAATAAGAGAGATAAGACAACTGTAACCGATGGTGTACTTCAGAGTGTCTACCCAAACAACGATCAATAGAGATTCAATTCTTACAACTAATGGTAATTTACTTACACTGTACTTGAACAGTCACTCTGTTTGAGGCACGGTCGCGATTACTATTGATCAATTCAATTTCGTATTCTCCACCCTCCGATCCCTGCAATGCAAAGATTTTAACTTCTGCTTGAGTAGCATTGATGTTTTCTTGAATGCGACCCTGGTAAATACTTTCTTCAACCTTTGCGTCGGAATGTAAGTCAAATTTGTCGACAATGGTGAGGGTGACAGTGCTGCCGATGAACCGTAAGAGAACATCGTCAAACTATCCACTAAGGTTGTACTGCCACACCAAGGTAATGTTGTTACCTTCGAGAACATAGAACGGATCTGGAGGATTTGCCGTAAATGTTGGTGCTAATTCTGCGAAAGAAACAAAGTGAAAACACTTCTAAGTATTTATAATTCTTTAATTTCTCCCTATATATCTTACGGCCTCATTGCCTGGGGCCAAGCCTCCAAATCTTATTTAGAAAAAATTCTTATACTCCAAAAGAGAGCTGTTCGCTTGATCTACTTTCTGCCTTTCAGAACGCATGCGATTCCATATTTCGCGCAATCTAACATCCTGCCAATAACAATGCTCTACTTCAAACTTTCATCAATCTTGATGCTTGGTATAACCACTAACTCTGCACCTAAAAATATTTGCAATCTTTTTATTTTCTACACAAGACATACATCAGTATAATACCCGATCAGCATCTTCTGGTAACTACTATGTTAACTATTCTAGGCTTAATCATCATAAAAACTCTTTTTCTATCGTTGGGGCAAAAATTTGGAACAGTATTCCCGAAAGCTATCGAAGTCTGCCGAAGCATATATTCAAGAAGAAAATTCAAGCATTACTATTTGCAACTCTAGGAAGTCTGGATAGTTATGCTGACACTAGCACTCTTATTTCTGAAATAAAAAAGGCATCTTAATTATTATTCAAACATAATATATTAATTTACTTTTTATCACCTTTTCCCTCTTTTGTCAAATAATGTATGCAAAATCGAGTAATTCGCATAATTCGTGTTTTTGTAATTCGTGTTGTATGTCCTTAACACCGCCTGCCTAGATTAGCTCGCTATTTGCAAGAGGTGATTATTGTACAAAGATTTTCCTGCAAACTTAATAATAAACTTAATAATAAACTTGAAAAATAAACTTAATAATAATAATAATAAACTTAATAATAATGGTCAGGGTTGTGTATGCTTTCAATGCCGCAACGTTTTTAAGTGAGGAAACTTTGCAATGAAAACATTTTCGCAAATGTGGCTGTCAATCTCCAGGTAAACCCCCCTTATTTTCCCATGTTTCAAGTTTCAGTGATGCTATGTTTGAATGAAAGTCGATTAAAGTCCTAAGACCACGATTCAGACCCAGTACCATTTACTCGGCGGTGAAATCCAGCGCCACAAAACACTCAGCCATCCCTCTTTATTCACTTTTAGATTACAATAAAGGTTAAACTCAAAGGAAATCTGGAAAGCATACACAGCGTTTCATGATTCAACCACATTTGCATGAGGCTCAAAACGGTTTAAATATTTTTCATTTGCTGCTTTAACCAACTGGTTGTTTCGAAATTTTTTCGTCATTTCATTTTACACCCTTCCCTAGGCAGGCTTAAAGTGCAAGGACATGATGCATGTAGCACAGGGACCGTAGGTGGATAGTGAGTTTTTGTCAACCAAGTGCGATACACGTGCTGATAGAAATTCGGCTCGAGCGCGGCGAGTTCCTCACAAAAATGACTAAAGAGGATGATCCATGACTTAACTGAAAGCCGCTCTAACCAATCGATTTCTTGTAGTCTTCGGTCTATTGCTTGATTATAACACTCGAATGTGCTGCATAACTGGTACATGTTCGAGCAATTCATTTCTCAAAAGAGTGCAAGCTGAAGCGATATATTCCTGGGAACCTACAAAGTCGACAAGGCGAGCTCTCTGATGTTGGAACTTATTTAATGCATTTTGATTGTTATAGGAGTGGTAGTCGGTCGTTCAGTGTGACTGACTCGGTGATGATGTTTTTAGGTCTTATAAGGACTCTGACAGTGATTGACATTTAACAATCTGGGCGGAAGTCATCTCTCGCCGTCATCAGAGCTAAAATTAAGTCACATGAACTGTGGAGTTATATAACTGACTTTGATTGCAAATTCTGCTCTAAAGAGAAGCTCTCACCGCGATATAAACTGTTTCTCGTTTTTGTGTTTCTGTTTTTTTTTGTTCGTGACGGTCGTTAATCTCTATGCATTCATGTATCTGGATTAACCAGGAGATTGAATAAAGGGTTGACGAGACAAATAAATCTTTGTCACTCGAAATTGCTTACACATATTGACCCCTGATTAGTAAAGTGTATCAAATTTATCAAACGGTTGCTTTGATCTAAATAAGATGCCATGAGAGGTATTTTCACGCGATATTCGTTATAATCTTAAGGAGCATCGATCCTACCTTAAGTAGGAAATTAATTGGCGAAGAAAAAACTCATTCAACATGGACTAAGTTGAATCCTCTGCCCGAGTTTAGGGTAGACCCGAACAAAAAAAAACGGGCGCCAAAATCCTGCTCTTGCTTGGCGTATACGGACGCTGTGTTGTTGCTGTCGATTTTAGCTCGCAGACTTTCCTTTTTTAAGCAAGTGTCGTTTTTTATTGGGAAAGCAGT